GGCCCCGTGAGACGGGTGATGAGGAACGTCACCTTCAGGGCGTCATTGGAGAACACGGTCTCGTCCACGAACATGTAGGAGCCCGTCTGCACGATGAACTCCGGCAGCCGGTCGGTGTCGCCGTCAAACGTCTCGGGAAAGGGAATCGGGTTCCTCCACCGACGCGCCTGGGGCCACCGGTGCCTGGACAGGAGGGCCTTCATCAGCTGCACCTTACCTTCCATTGTGCTTAGCTTGCTCCCCTGTGTTCCGCCGGGCTGAGTGTAGGTCAAGTCTGAGGAGTCCCAGGATTTGCGTTTGCAGGGAGGCGGGTTCTGGCTGTGGCTGTGTGGGAATCTAGGTGGGCGTACGCAGGAGAGTGACAGTGGGGCGGGGGGTGGGGGCGCTAAGACGGTGTTCTTGGTTAGACTCCGCCTAGAATCCAGGACCTTGGCAATACGCAGGCGCAATTTGGAGGGGGCGTGCCTTCACTCTGCTGGTGCAGCTGGGTTGGAGTCAAAGGGATGGCAAAAGCGGAGGCGGAGAGTCCAGGGGAGCCTCTGTGGGAACCAGCCTGCATTTTCTGAAAGTGGAGCCACCTCGCCTTGGAGATTGGAAGGTCTAAATTCTAAATGCTGAGTATTATTTTTCTTTTGCGAGTTTTTTTGCTCAGCTAATGTTTTGTAGGTTCATCCGTTTTGTGTCCTGTATTAGTACTTATTTATTTTTATTGTTGTTTGGTGCCTTGGAGTTGATTTTCGACTCAGTGACCCTATGTGACAGAGTAGAACAGCCCCATAGGGTTTTCTTGGCTGTAGTCTTTAGGAAAGCAGATTACCAGAGTTTCCAGGTCTTTCTCCCGCGGTGCCATAGTAAATGAAGCTGTGTTGATTTGAACCGCCAGCCTTTTGGGTTAGCAGCCAAGTCCTTAACCCTTGTGCCACTAGGGCTCCACTGCACATATATACCACTTTTTTAATGGATTCAAGTGTTATTTCCATTGTTTCCACTTTTGGGCTATTGTAAAAAGTGCTTCAATGAAAATTGGCGGACGCTTTTCGGGTTTCATTCCTGCCTTCACTTCTTCTTGGTATATACTTAGGATTGCTGGATCATATGGCAGTTCTATGTACAGTTTTTTGTGGAACTGTCAAACTTTTCTCCACAGTGGCTGTACCATTTTACATTCCCATCAGATATGGACGATGGTTCCAGTTTCCCCACAACCTCACCAACACCTGTTGTCTTCCTTTTTTGATCATTGCCATTCTAATGGGGTTGAGGCGGTATCTCAATCTGTGTGTGGGTTTGTTTGTTTGTTTTTTTGTCTGACTGTGATTTTAATTTGAGTCTCCCTAATGATTAATGACATTGAGCAGCTTTTCTTGTGCTTGTTGACCATTTGGATATCCTGTTTGGTGAAATGTCTGTTAAGTCAGCTGACAATTTTTTGGTTGGGTTGTTTGTCTTTTTGTTGTTAAGTTGTAGATGTTTTATATATATATTGGATATTAGAACCTTATCGGATATATGGTTCCCAAAATTTTTCTTCCTATCCCTAGGTTTTCTCTTCACTTTGATGGTAAAGTCCTGTGGTGAACAAAAGTAATTCATTTTTTTGAGGTCTATTTATCTGTTTTGTCTTTTGTTGCTCATGCTTTTGTTGTCATGTCTGATAATGCATCCTTAAAAACTAGGTCCCATCGACTCTCCCTTACATTTTCTTCAAGAATTATAATTATCTTTTGACAGAATTAGTTGTTCAAATTTTAACTAGTCAAATGAATTTCTGAGGTTGTGATAATCAATTCTTTACTAGGCTGAGACAAAGTAAACATTTACAATTTTCTCTTAAGGTTGTATTTTAACGTTTAACCAAATGATTTTTTCATTCATCTGGAATACATTTTTTAGCTTGTATCAACAGGAAAATTTTCTTTGTTCTACTTCTTTTGGAATCCCTGGGTTGTGTAAACACACTCGGCTGTTAATAGAGAGGTTGGAGGTTTGAGTCCATCCAGAGGCACCTCAGAAGAAAGGTCTGGTGATCTACTTCCAAAAAATAAGCTATTGAAAACACTATGGAGCACGATTGTACTGACATACATGGGCTTATCATGAGTTGGAATCAACTGGACTGTGACTGGTACTTTATTATTTTGTTAATTTAAAAAAGCTTCATAATATCAATTAGTAAATGTGCACAGAGATGCAAATTGTTTAATAATTTTTCATGTTTTTTGGTCATCTGATTGTAAGCTCAAAACTGAAATCTACAGTTGTATATAATGATAATATTTTTTCTGGGTTCTGTTCACACTCATCATATTAGGGCTTTTGTACCACTCAGTGTTTCTCTGAGGCAGGAGGCTGTATGTCCTGAGATCCAGACTGTTCATGCAGACCCCTCAATTAACAAATGGGCCAAGTTCATGATAGGCATCTGTCATGGATTGAATCGTGTCCCCCCAAAATATGTGTCAACTTGGTTAGGCCATGATTCCCAGTATTGTGTGGTTGTCCTCCATTTGGTGATTGATGTAATTTTCCTATATGTTGTAAATCCTAATCTCTGCCTGTGGTTAATGAGGCAAGATTAGATTATGTTAAAGAGGATTAGGGTAGGATGTAACACCCTTACTCAGGTCATATCCCTGATCCAATGTAAAGGAAATTTCCCTGAGGTGTGGCCTGCATCACCTTTTATCTTACAAGAGATAAAAGGAAAGAGACCTCATAGCACCAAGAAGGCAGCGCTGGGAGCAGAGCACCTCTTTTGAACCCAGGGTTCCTGTTCAGAGAAGCTTCTAGTCCAGGGAAAGATTGATGACAAGGACCTTCCTCCAGAGCTGACAGACAAAGCCTTCCCCTAGAACTGATGCCCCATATTTGGACTTCTAGCCTCCTAGACTGTGAGAGAATAAACTGTTCGTTGAAGCCATCCATTTGTGGCATTTCTGTTATAGCAGCACTAGATAACCAAGACAGCATCCACAAAGAAAAGTTAAAGATGGCCAGTAATCATGAAATACAATGTTCACTCAAATTTTATTCAAGCACACAACAATAAAAGAAATTAAAGAAATATTTTTCCTCATAGGATTTCTGGTGAATGGCTAAAAATATAATACTCAGGGTGCAGGAAAAAAAGGCACTTTCATAGCATTCACAAGAGGATGAGGAATGGTAAACACCTTCTGGAGGAAGATTTGTAAATATCTTCATGAAGAATATAGATGCCTTTGACCAAGTAATTTCATTCATAACATTGAACAAATGCCTTAGGACCAAAATGAATTAATAAATAAAGCCATTCTCTATTTTCAAAGAAATATAGAATACAACAATCTTGAGAATTGTTCATTCTCTAGTGGATTTTAAAATTTAAAGACAGTTCTTAATACCCTGTTTTGACAAGGTGGTGAGGAAATGGACTTCCTCTAGGATTTTAAAGGGTATTTGAAATAGTCACAGGTTTCTGGAGGGCCTTTTGACTAGGAATGTCAAAACCTTAAAAATGTCTAGTGGCCTTTAACCCAGCAGATCCACTTGGAGAAGTTTGAACTCTAGATGGAAAACACTGTGGCCCCATATGCTGACTGTCCCAGGAACTTATTTCGGGAGGAAGGAAGTGGGGCAATTGGTCCTTGTGCCGGAATTGGTCTAGACTTACCTTGGGCCCCATCACTCCGGGCAGCTGTCCTGATAGAATGGATGGTATTGGAGGAAAGGAAGCAAGTGTGGGTTCTGAGAAGCAGCTGGGAGGCAAAGAGGGGAGAGTATTGAGGAGATGAAGGATGTGTGGAGAAGGGGAAGGAGACCAAAGGATCAGAGTGAAGGCTGTGGGCAAGGTGAAGGAGTCAGAGGTCTGTTACGGAGGTCGACCTGACGGCAGCTGATGAATTGTCTAGGCAGGTATTTTGACTGTTGATATAATGGTGACTTTTCTTTTTCTGACCAGTATAGCGGGACATGCCTCTCAGAGTGAACACGTAAATGAGCCACAGAGACTTTAGGTTTAAGTGGGAAGGTCAGAGAGCCAGAGATATGACAGCACAGGCACCCGGATGCTGTAATAGCCCTGGCATTGCAGACACGCAAAACATCAAGCCATGTCCTGCTGGGTCTTAGATTCTGCACCCCAGACGTGGGCCTGGATAAACTGGGTGAGCAAGATTTCCAAAGGCAGAGATGACAGGAAGCGACAATATGTGCAAAGGTCTGAATAGCAGAGCTGGACATTAAACGATGGGCTTAATATTCATAGATGTGGAAAACTCTTTGTAGAAAGAGATAATAAGAGCAAAAGCTTAGTTATGTAGCTGGGCCTTGAGGTATGGGAAAAGTTCCGCGTGTAGACATGGAGAGAGTGGACACTATTTCTGTCAATCATTTCATCCCGCCAATCACGATCTACGAAGGCGGGGCCATAGGCAGACTATAAATAACGAACGTCCTGCTCACGTGACCCGGCTCGTTTCAATATGGATTATACTTTGGCACTATGGTGGACCGTTTCCCTCACTGATGTGGCAATATGGCGGCTCGTCCCTCGTGTAATCACAAAACTGTAAGTTTAATTTACTTCTTAATTGTTATTGATAGTTGGCTGTTTGTAGTGTGGTTTTTATAGAATGAGATAAACGGTATGTAATAATATACTTTAATAAATGTGTGTGGAGAGTTTTGCTTTTATGAGAGTTTGGTTTTCCGGTCACTTAGCGGTGTTTGGACACGATGTTGTGTTTTATGTTACAACATGATGGGTCTTTAATATCATTTTAATGTTTAAGTGTTGGTATTGGACCCCCTTGTTCATGGTCTCAAGGTTTGGGGTGTATTCAGGTTAAAAATGAGAAAAAGGATGGTGCGGTGGGCTGAGCTTTGTCGGTCCAGGACGGCAGTGGCCGTTTCCCTCTAGGGAGCTGATTTTGTCTTTTATTTTACGTCGTTGGGTGGTTGTCGTATCCGTGTACTTGCTTAAATTTGGTCTTAGCCCTTTTCGTGTTTTTTTTTTTTTTAAATCAGTGACCGGATTTCTGTTATTTTAGTCCTGAAAAAGAAGAAAATAATACGCTGAGGGAGTATGTGTGGGATTTGCACAACTACAGACCATCAGAGGCCTTTGAGCAGAGTTCTGTGTTTCAGACGATTGTGTTAAGTATCATTTCTGTGATTAAATTTCATATGTTGTCTTTAAAAGAAAAAAAAAGTTTCCTGGTGTTTTCTACCTAAAAATGAGGAAATGCACAGTCTGTAAAGCTCATGGCTTGTTTACAGACCTCCGAGAATTGCCTGCAGTTACCGTTGAATTTTTATGTAATACACTTGTTTATTTAGTATTAATGTGTTCAACCAAGCCTGGTCCTGACGCTTTTCATGAGTTTTTCTAAAAAAGTTTCGTGTTATTGGGACGTTACGAATAAGGAGACAGATTGGGCAAAAGCCTGTTTCTTTAAGAGCCGATTTTGTGTTCTCTTCTAAAATACACTAGCAAAGGAAAAAATAACACACTAGCAAAGGTTTTTTCAGGCATGGCAGTGTTTTGAATTTAATTTTGATCTCGGTCTTGGTCTTGCTCCATAAATATGTGTAAAATGAAAGCATTTTCAGGGTACACCGTCTGGTTTAGTCAGTGATGTTGTTACAAGCCCCGGGAATACCCCTCAGCTGCCCTTGCCAGCCAGGTTTGGAGGCAGTTTGACATTCAGTATTACAACTATGTGTTCAAACTCATTGCGTTCAATTCAGTTTTGGACCTGAGGCTCCTCATAAGTTTCGTTTTGAATGTTTTGTGTAAGTTACTATTTACACACAGGAGGAATTTAATTTCTGATTGAATGCCGTTTCTTTTATTATTGCGTGTTTGACATACTTTTATTTAAATTCTGGTCATGGTCCTTCTTCACAAATTATCTTTAAAAGAAACGTTTTGGGGTCATCTTCTTGATTTACAAATGCAGAACTTAATTGGCTGACTCCTGGATATTTTAATTCTAAGGAGCTGTCATAGGTCGGGGAGCTCTGGTGGTGCAGTGGTTAAGAGCTCGGCTGCTAACCAAAAGGTCAGCAGTTTGAATCCACCAGTGGCTCCTTGGAAACCCTATGGGGCAGTTCTACCCTGTCCTATAGGGTCGCTATGAGTCGGAATCAACTTGACGGCAATGGGTTTGGTTTTTGGGTTTTGGTCCTAGGTCGTGATTAAACACAGCATGACATTCATTTTACAGAAGAATTGTGTGTTTGCTATCATTCTGTCCTATTAAATACGGGTTTTGGTTCTTTACATAAAGTTTTTGTAAAAAAGTTTCTTGTTATTGTCAATTAATAAGGAAAAGATTTGTTTTATTCGTCTATGTGCCGCTTGGTTTACGACAGTTACTTGGTTTAAGACAGTTACTGACCTCGTGCTACCAGCGAGCCTAATGTTTAATTTTATTTTACCATTAAATCGTGGTGTAATACTATTTTCATTCTGCAAATTTTGGTCCTGGTGTGTCCTATTTGATTTCTATTTTAAATAAAGAAATTTTTGTGTTATTTTCAATGTAAAAAATGCGCACATTGACCATTGGACTGACCGAGCATCCGTTGTTTTACGACAGTGAATGCCCGGAAGTGCTGCTCATGGCCGCCATTAGACTGCATTTGGGATTTTATTTCCCAAAACAATTGCATGTTGAATATCACTTTACTCAATTGAAGTCTGTTCAGAGCCTTTTTCATATGTTTCGTTTGAAAGCTTTTCTGTAACTTTAAATTTGCAGAAGAGAAAATGAACATGTTTGATATAATTGGGTGTTCGACATACTGTTTACATTCTAGTCTTAGCCTGTCCTCAAAATTTTTCTTAAAAATAAGTGCTTTAGGGTAGTGTCAAATGACAAACGCAGAACTTAATCATCCGGCTTAGTCCTGGATTATTTAATTGTAGATGTTTAATTCTTAAGTGTTTGTCGTGGTCATGACTGACTTAACGCGGTTTGGCATTTTATTTTACCATTAAATCGTGTTGTGATATAATTTTACTCCTTAAAATTTGGGTCCTTGTGTGTCCTATTTCATAGCTGTATTTAAAGTGGAGATATTTTGTGTTAATTTTAATGTAAAGATGCTCACATTGACCATCTGATTGATGGAGCGTTCATTGTTTGACAGTTGAGTGCTCGGAAGTGCCTGTCACCCACCGCAGTTACACGTCATGTTACACGTCACGGGGGAATTCATTTCCCAGAGCAATTCTGTGTTGAACTCCATGTCACTCAGTGAAATTCTGTCCTTAGCCTTTTCAATAAGTGTCCTTTGAAAGTTTTTGTGTAAATTTCAGTTTACAGAGGAGAAATTAACATGCTTGAGTGCCTTTTATTTTATAATATAACTGGGTTTTTGACATATTACTATGTTTAAATTCTAGTCTTGGGCCATTCTCAAAGATTTTATTAAAATTAAAGGTTTCGAGTAGTCTCGATTTACACACGCAGAACTTAATCATCCAGCTGAGTGCTGGATATGTTGCGACGGTGAATGATCTCAAGAGTCTGTTTTAGGTCACCATTAAATACATTTTAGCATTTTATTTTAGCGAATGATTGTGTGTTTGGTATCATTTTATTCGGGTGTGGGTCCTGGTCCTTTGCATGAGTTTTGTGGAAAAAAAGTTTCTTTCTGTCATCATTTAACAAATAAAAGATTGTTTTATTGTCTTTTTGTCTCTAGGTTGGTACATTAACTGGCCTCAAGCTGCCAGTGAGCCTAAATTTCCTTTTTCTTTTTTTATTCTGTTTATTATGATTTCATTTGTTGAAATTTGGTCTTTGTGTGTCCTGTTTCATAATTTAAAGTGAAGAAAGTTTTCTGGTATTTTCAACATAAAGATGCAAAAATTGACCACGTTACTAAACAAGTGCTCCTTGTATTAGGACAGTGATTGCCCTGAAGTGCTGGTCACCGATCGCCACGGAAAGTCCTTTAGAATTTGATTTGCTTAAAAAATTGTGTGTTGAATTCTGTCCCTAGCTACCTTCATATGTTTTCTTTGAAAAGTATGGTGCATGTTCAATTTAAATGGAGGAAATCAACTGTCAGCTTGAGTGCTTTGTGTTTCCAGGGATTTGGTGGTCCTTGAGGTCATATTTCCTGTTTTGGGATGTTCTTTGACAGTATAATTATACTTTTAATATAATGATATTTAAATAAATTTTCACATCAGTCCTTCTTACAAGCATAGAAAAATGGTTTGTGGTAGCTTCTATTCACAAACAAGGAGGACAGGAGTGCTCCAGAGCCTGCCTGGTTAGGACAGAAAATGGCAAGAATATGCTCTCCCTCGGCCATCTCAGCGTGTGCCAGCCCTGCCGCTGACTGTGCCTTTATGCCTCAAATGCATGAATATCGGTGTGTGAAATGGGCAGTACTCACAACATGCATGTGTTGTGTGACACTTAATGTGTATTGAAGGGGAGAATTAAAGGAATACTCTTGTTCTCTCTCTCAAACACCTGATTATCGTAATAATTAAATCCTGATAGGTACTTTCAAGCAAAATACAAATACTTCCTGTTTACACTGGTGCTAGTTGAGTTTCCTTATTAGCGTTTTGTCTGGTTCATTCTAGATTATCGCTTGAATTAAGTATGTTGCCTCATGTCTAAATGATTCAATGACTGACTTCCTTGGTGGTGGAACTCTGATATTCTCCAAATATTACCAATTGAATTACATTTAGACATCAAAAAGCTGGATTGATGGTGGTATCTGAATTGTAAACTAACTCTGCCCTTTGTAAAACCTGTCACCCAGATTTCAGAAATTAGGACGTTAACTAGCCTCACAAATTCTGACTTTTCAGTCAGCCGTGCACCTTGAATGAGGTCTAAGTGTGGAATGAAGGCACTTTTATTACATGCCAATTGCCCATAGACTTCTAGGGGCATACTTGCCATTTAAGAGCAAATTCCCCAAATCCATATTGGATTACCAACTGTCAGTTTTTTCTGTTGTTTCCTTCTCAGAGTCCTCTGTTCATTGTCAGATGGTAGCAATGTTATATACTGTATGAAATTCTTCATGAAATGGTTCTGAGTGGTATTAGCTCATTTCTGAATTAAGCAGTTTTCCAACTTACTATGTTAATACATTACTGCCAAAAATACAGTTGTATAATGTGCGTTTCGTGATCTATTAATGTCAGTATTTGATACTATGCTAAGTAGAGAACACAAAACCTATTGAAAGATTTGTTCCCCATAATCTGACATAGTGTATTAGTGTCAGTACTCAGTAACAAAGGAAGGGGGACACAAAAGCCAGTCCAAAGGTTTGTTAGCCATAGTTTTGCATGAGTTGTTAACCTTATTACTGAAGAGAAATATGGACTTCCTTGAAACTCCCCCATCTGGAAAATAAGGTGCATTATCTACCAGAGGAATATTTAATAATTCCCTTATGAGATTTGATTAGAGCAGGATGAAGTGTGGTTCATTTTGAAGGGACAGTCAGGCCTCTGAAGTGGCAGTCTTACCTGATTTTGTGGTTTGATGCATATAGTTCCTGTCTCATGTTATCTTTCACTTTTTGGCCTACCTCACACAGGCTGCATGACTGAGTCCCCTGGCCCCACCAACCATTTTCAGAAGTTCCTCTGGATAAGGGAAAGAGGACATTTTCCCCAGCCACTCACCTTATAGGAGTTTCCAAGTTACATAATTTTCCTGCAGTGGTTCTGTGCCTCTGATGGGAAGAGAGTGGAACCAAAATGAATTCCCAAGATTATCCAGAGGCGGAAGTACACACTTCTGTAAGGTGAGGTGAGGGATGTTGGGCGGATGGCAGCACCTGCCCCTGTTATCTATGCTATCATTTGAGATTCTTTCCCTGAGTCTCTAGAGATGGCAACTACCAAAAGTGTCAGGGGCTCTACCTAGGCACTAGATACTAGCTCCATGGTAGAGACCCTGTTTTTATGACTTTTTCCTTTAATAAGGCAATGACATCTTTGTCCAGTCCTTATCTGTGTTGCTCTGTACACTGTGGGTGCTGCTGTTAGGGAGACATTGACTTCATTAGGAGATCGGATTTCAGAGAAACTTGAACTTGACATTTTAATGTGCATGTTTTTTCTGTCCTTTTATCCTTTTTGGAAAGCCCTTATAGCAGCAGCAGGGTGGAAGGATGAGATGGGAAAACAAGCACCAGGAGTCCAGGGATGGTGGCCGTGCTGCTCAGGTGTCTTGATTCAGGGACGAGAATGTGGATCTGGAGGCAATTTTAACGCCAGGTCTGTCTATGAGAAGGGGAAAGTTGGGACTCGTAGACCAAGTGGGTGGCATGGAAGGGTAGTCTCCCACAGTTACCCTGCCATAGTGGGACTGCATTTGGTAGTGATCCTGACGGCTTAGGTCAGCCATTAAAATAATATGTAGGGCAATAATCCTGCAAATCTATATCCTTCTGTACATTGATGATGAGATGCTTGTTTTGCAGGAATTACTGGGGCCACACACCATGTTTCATTTACAATAAGTCTCCTCTTTGTGAGTTTACAGGACACTTGGCTCCTTCTCACTATTTTATTGAGGCTCAGCTTCTCTATTTGCCATATGACAGTATGAGTTTGCTATGTGGAATGTTGTGAGAATCAAGTGGGGTGATCTTTGTAAAGCACCCACCATCCCGTAGGTCCTCAAGTAAACAGTACCACATTTCCTGAATCCACATATTAAAACAGAATATTATGTTGTTTTGTTTATTTAGCTCCTCTTCTCTCCCTCACCTCCAGGTCCTTAGGCTTTTGAAATAATTTTGTTTATATGTTTGTTTCCTTTCCCAGGGCCAGCAAGTTTCCTCAGAAGTTACTGGTTCATCTCCTTGGAAATCACACCTCTGTAATCTTGCTGTGAAGCAAGAGGTAGCCCAGGAACTGAGTTTTTCCTGCCCTGAGCCACAATCTGTTCTGGCCAGCTTGGACACCTTACACAGCACCTATCAGAAGTTTCTAGAATTTGTCAAGCTCTTCGGGCTGAGGGTGCCTGTTCATTGGCAGTGTCTGAAAAGGTCTTTGCTCTTTCCTTGCCTATATAAAGTCATTTATTGCTGGGGGGTGATTCATTTGTTGGAAATAAGGTGAAGACTTTGACAGTTCTGGGGAGAGGGGAGTGCTAAATATAAATATGAAGTATTCTAAGATGTTTTTTAAGAGACTTCCAAACTTTAATCTCAGTAGATACCTCTGGTTCCCCAGTTTTGTATTCACATGGGTTTTATTCACAAGGTGGTACCACAGAACCTGAAGTTCACACACCTGAGGTCAAAAAATCCTCATTTCTTTTTGATTACAAGACAAAGTATCTAGCCTCTCTTTGTAAAGCATAGTGACATGTGAAAGCCTTTTGATTTATCCCTGTAATTGGCTAAATTACTTTTAAGGCCAGGAAGATGGGGGCACTGTTATTTCACACCCAGTGAAAAACTGTGGCCTGAAATAAAACCTGTACCCAAATCCACTTAGTGGGGCTGTGCCAGTGAAGTACCTTCACCAAGTGACGTGATGGTGACTGAGGGGTGGCCTATTTGCTAGTCCAGAACTGCTGTGTAGCTTCCCTATACCTGTGATGCCTCCTCATCCCTTTCGGCACATCTGTTGTTCCCTGTTCCCATCCTTGTCATCTTGGGTCTAGAAGAGGCCTAGATTTCCCTCTTCATGGGGAAGTTGTGGGAAAGACCTTAGTGAATGGTTTCATACATAATACTGCTTGGTATTGGTATGTAAAAAGAAGTCACAGAGTTTTTTTTTTTTTTTTTTTTTTCCAGATGCCTTGAGTTGATTCTGACTCATGGCAGCCCCATGTGTGGAAGGATGCCTCTGATTGGTGATGATCTTAAGAATTGGGACATCCAAGTAAAGAGAAGGTGATCCTCCTCAGACCTTAATGTGGGCCTAGTTTCTTGCATCTTGTGACGAGTTCGTTCCTAGGCCAGCCTTGTCATTTAAACACCTTGGATGTGTGCTCACGTGGGAATGGTAATGTACTGCAATTTCTTACGGTGGTGTTTCCGTGGCAGACTTGTTTTTGCAGTAAATGTGTATTCATGTCTCTTTGGAAGAGACATCAACCTCCTAGAAAGGATGAGGATGATGTAGCTGGCGGTGGGATGAGAATAAGAAAATAGCTCACTTCTTGCCATCTGCTATCTCACTTAAACCTCTCAAACCCCTGTGACATTTGAAAAGTGAGATTACTGATGGGCAGGAAAGAGTCGTACCTTGCACGGGGGCACAAAGCCAATGGTTAGGAGGGGTGCCCCTCAAAAACCAAGTGTAGCTGACCTCAAATCCCGTGGTATTGGGCACTAAGTTGAGAGATACTCTTTTAATGCAGCCTTTTAGTGCTCACCAAATTAGTTGTTGCCTTCCTGCCACCCCTTCATGCACTCTTCTGCTGACTCTACTCTGCCAGTTGGTGGGAACAAAACAGTTACCTGGGTACTGTCAGTGATTGGTGACTGAGGCTGGTGACTTTTGAGTTCTCACGGGCTTCTAGGGATGAGACTGGAGGTCCAGGACTGTCCCGGGTCAGGGCTCCAGATGGGCTGCTCACCCCCTCCTACCTCATTGTCGAAGAGGACACAGAGCCTCAGGCCTTCGCTGCCACCTTCACTCTGGTTCCCTGCCTCAGTTGATTGTTTTTTCTTTAATAAGAATTACAGAGGTTAGAGCCTCAGAAAGGGGAGGCGCTTTGTGATCAGGAAAGATGAAATGACAAATGCTCCCTCACTTTCAGGGGCAACAGATGGGGGGGGGAGGGATGTGAACCACATCCTCTTTAAAACTGCTCTGTTTGAAGTAGGATAAAGCAGACAGTTTGGAGGACAAGGACCTTGGTGTGAAAGGTGTGATAGCTGGGGCATGGAGAATTTTATGTCCTGGGGAAGGAATTGGTAATGGCCTGTTCTCAGACTTTTATATTCTTACAGTATCACTAAACAAGATGATTTCACACCGCAGAAAAATGGGGCACTAGGAAACATGAGGACTCCTATACACACCCTGTGTCCTGCCATTGTTGAAATGTTTGGTAGGCACAAAACCTTTGTAAGCTGTAACAGTTCCTGAATTCTGATTAAGTTTATGGGGATGCAGTGTGATTTGTATCCAAGCATTTCTCTAGTAGCTCGATGCACCCTTCTGCTGACCATACTCTGCACGTTGGGGGAACTAAAAGTTACCTGGGGCCTGCCTATAGTATGCACCCTTCTGCTGACCATACTCTGCACGTTGGGGGAACTAAAAGTTACCTGGGGCCTGCCTATAGTATGTACCCTTCTGCTGACCATACTCTGCACGTTGGGGGAACTAGAAGTTACTGGGGGCCTGTTTATAGGATGCACCCTTCTGCTGACCATACTCTGCACATTGGGGGAATGAGAAGTTACCTGGGGCCTGTCTATAAGCAGTAGTTGAGGCAGATGAATTTCCAATCTTCAGGAGATAAGACTGGAGGTCTCGGACTTTCCCAAGTCAGGACTCCAGACTGGATACTTAAACTTTCTGAGGACACAGAGCCTCAGGCTTTAGCTGCCACCATTAGGTCTGGCTCACTCTCATTTGAGTGTCTCTTCTTTTAAAGAGAATTATAAAAGATAGAGCTTCAGAAAGGGACTGATACCCAATGGGATTCACTGATTTTCTCCATCTAACTCATCACTGAGACACAGCTGCCTTTCAGAATACTAGAAAGGTCTGTCTGTTGTAGTATCAGCTAGGAGAGTGCAGTTGGGGTGCTGCACTACAGCATGTTGAATATGGTTTAAGCCATGACCAGGCTTCTATGCCTCTCCTCCATAGTCCAGAACAGATGGGTCTGGGAAACTGGGGTTAGAGGTGAGCAGAGATATTCCGTGATTATAGTGTGCCCCATGCCCACACCCCAAAAGTTTTCCTTGTGTGTCTATAAGGATCTTAGAACTCAAACAGAAGAATGCTTTATCAGAAGTGGGCAATGCCACTGATAGTGCCTATAAATTGTTTTGCCTTAATTCTTCAATTTGTACGTAATATTTTACATTGTGGTATTTAAGGTTAACCTTTAGTCCATAGATTTTGGAATCTCAAAGCATCACAGCAGTTCTGTATAAGCCACGACCTTCACCTGGAGGACTTCGACTCAAGGAGTGGCTCTATGACATCAAGTTCTTGAGAAATTTGATCGGATTTGCCTTTGGGAGGCTGTGACTTTGGGTTTGGCTGTAAATTTTACTTTGGGTTGTTTTGATTGTTTACAATATGCACAATTTTGCTTACACAGGGAATCTTGGGATTTTACATACTGGGGGATGTTAAAATGTATATGTATTGTATTCATATGATGCTGGGTGGAAGGCAGTAGTCACAGGCTGATTGGTCTGTGCAGCAGGCACTTTTTGTCTGTGACCTGACCGCTGCACACATACCCTCCTGTTTGCTGTGCTACTATGTCCCCTGACCTAGCTTCTTGGTTAGATACTTGTCACCTTCCCTAGTTAAACCAATCTCAATGTACATCCCATTAGCTTTGGAGTTTGGAACTAGACTCCATGATTGAGCAATTCTCTGCTAAGTCTCATTAATGCCATTTTTTACAGAGAACCTTACTTAAAAGACTACCTGTTGAGTTCATCTATGCTATCCTCATTCTACTTTTATGTAATATGTTTGTTGCTTTGGTTTCTTGGATATTGTAAAATACTTGTATCCTTTTAATAAAATGTGTTTGTTGAAGAAGCTCTCCCAGTCGTGTTTATTATTTGCCATGAATACCAGCATGATCAAGATGCTTGTAGTTGTGTCATTCGCGTCATCGAGTACATGGGGTGAGCTCTGAGCAATATAATTGGGATATTGAGAACAGGAGGTTGGTGGGGCAGACGGTGGTAAGAAAAAGAAAGGTACTAGGGGATCTAATAGGTCCTTGTGAGAAGTGATGCTTTGGCCACTACATGAAGGCCTCAAATACATACTAGAGGCTGGTGGGGGCTGTGGGGAATCTCCTGACACTGCTTAGGGTAAGGCAGAAGTAGGGTGAACAGCATGGTTCAATGAACTACAGTGTTTCCTCTGTACAACTGAGTATGATTTAAACATTTTATCAATTAACATTTTTAATTGGCAAGTGGGTGCAGTAATGGCAGTCCTAAAGAATTTTTAGATCAGTTCTCAGCTGCCTAAGGAAACTTTTGCAAGGTGGTCATTAGAATTTCTCACCCACCGGATAGGAGAGCAAGCCTGTTGCAGTCTGTCCTGCCTGTAGCCATGCCAGGCAGGGGGCTTGGGCGGGCGTGTTTCCTAGGATTTCATAGAGATCTTGGGCTGCAGGTGTCAGCACCTCAATTCTTGCCCTTCAGTCCAGAAGGGCCCAAATTGGGATGTCTCGCTTCCTTCCTGAAGGGCTCGTCAGCATGGAGAGCTCAAAGAACCTCTGCTCCTCTTCTCCATGGTGGCTGAAACTCTATTTATATCCCCTTGATGACCCTCTCCTGTGTTAAAACAAGTGAGTGGCCCACTAGGCTGGGAGCTTCTCCAGCCAACCATGCTCTCACGCCGCAACCAGCAGTGTCCTCCAGTGTGTGTCTCTCTGCCCAGAGACTCTCTGAAATGCTCTTCTGTGAAGCTGGAACTTTGTAAGAGACTGCAGAGCCTTTGACATTTGGGGTATGACTACTGACCTGACTCCTTCAGCACCAGACCTGACAGGAACTGGTGGCCACAGAACACCTTCTCAGGCTTAGGACTCTGTTACAGTTCAGATGAGGCCTGCCATGCCCATCACCACTGTCCCTCCAGCTGATGGGGAAAGTCAGTCACTTGTATGGGGTCTTCCCTTGGCCATGTTCTCTGAGGGAGCGTGTGAATTAAGCCATCCAGGGCCTCAGAAATCCAGGGGCACAATGAGAGATGGCTGCTGCTGACAGGTCTCTGAATTATCACCCTTTACAGACCAGAGAGAACTTAGAGGTGGTTCACCCTGACACCCTAACTCCCCAGAGAAACTTTAAAGGGCCATAAGAGGTGCCTGGCCTGGATGGAGGGGGCTGAGGCCTGGAGAAAAAGACCTTACAGGAGGGGCAAGGTGTGATAAATACTCTCTAAAGGGAGTTAGAAACTACAGAGCAAGAACAGGAGAACTTGGTGAGATTAGGGGGACTTCTCACATCTGTTTTCAACTCATGATCAGCATATGAACAAACAAATGACAACAAAGCCCATTTACTACCTCTGATGAGCTCTGTGCTAAGCAATTACTCTGTATCACCTCCCTTCATGTGCATGGTAATCTGGGGAGGCAGGTACAAGTATGTCTCAGAAGCCAAATAATTTGCCCAAGGACACACAGCTAGTAAATTGCAGAGGCAAGATTGGAACCCAGGTGTCTGTGATTCTATAGCCTGTGTGCACTTACCCACCACAGCACTGAACAATGGCATAAAGGTTATTTGGGGACCAGGTCAGATGAACAGATACTCATTAAAGAGATTTTGTAAATAGAGATTATTAGGAAAAATTAATTTTATTCTTGCCATTTAAACTAAAACTCTTGATATTTTATTTTCATCTAGTCCTTCCTTATACACACACATATGACGTGAACGTATGCATTTCAAATACCTGTTACACACTTGGGGCCCTGGTGGCACAGTGGTTAAGAGCTCAGGCTGCTAACTAAAAGGTCTGTGATTTGAATCCACCAGCCGCTCCTTGGAAGCCTTGTGGGGCAGTTCTACTCTGTCCTACAGGGTCGCTATAAGTCGGTTTGGTTTTGGTTTTTTTTTTTGTTACACACTTAGTAAGAGCATTTTTTTTTTTTTAGTGTAATTATGAGAGAGGTCCAGAGGTAGGTTAGGCTCTGGGCACAGGGCTCCGGCTCCACTTCTTTGTGATTCTGTTGGTTCCGTCATCATCCGTGCGTTGGCTTCATTATCAGGCTCTTGGCAAGATGGCTGCAGCAGTTCCAGGCATCACACCCATACCTAATAATTTCCACAGGATGATCCTTCTCTCCATCTACTTCATGACAGAGAGGAAACCTTCTCAGAAGCACCCTAGCACATTTTTCACATTTCACTAGCCCGGACTGGATCAGATTCCCATTGTTTTATTTTTCATTCACTGGCAAGGGGAATTGTAGAATCATGATTAGTTTGGGACTATTGTGGAGGGGAAGGAGCCCTGGTGGTGTAATGGGTTAAAGCACTTGCCCAGAGACTCTCTCAATTGCTTGTAACCACTCCTTACCCACGTAGAGAAGATAAATGCTTACTTTGCAAAAATGAGGTCATTCCAAAACCACTGGAAAGGATTAAATCATCACTTTCATGGTGTGAATCACTAACATGGAAATAATTGCTGTCTATTCCATTTTTTTGTCCCTAAAAAAAAAACCAAACCCATTGCCATCAAGTTGATTCTGACCGACTCATAGCGACCCTATAGGACAGAGTAGAACTGCCCCATAGGGTTTCCAAGGAGCAGCTGGTGGATTCAAACTGCCAGCCTTTTGGTTAGCAGCCTGAGCTCTTAACCACTTCACCACCAGGGCTCCTTTTTGCCATGTATTAGGGCTCCTAGTGTTGTCCCTATTTTTTCTTCCATGATCTTTATCGTTTTCAATTTTATATTTAGGTCTTCATTTTGAGTTAGTTTTTGTGCATGGTGTGAGGTATGGGTCTTGTTTCAGTTTTTTGCAGATGGATATCCAGTTATGCCAGCACCATTTGTTAAAGAGACTGTCTTTTCCCCCAATTAACAGACTTTGGGCCTTTGTCAAATATCAGCTGCTCATAGGTGGATGAATTTATGTCTGGATTCTCAATTCTGTTTTCTTGGTCTATGCATCTGTTGTTGTACCAGTACTAGGATGTTTTGACTACCGTGGCGGTATAACAGATTCTGAAATCAGGTAGTGTGAGGCCTCCCACTTTGTTCTTCTTCTTGAGTAATGCTTTACTTATCCGGGGCCTCTTCCCTTTCCATATGAAGTTGGTGATTTGTTTCTCCATCTCATTAAAAAATGCCGTTAGAATTTGGATCGGGATCGCATTGTATCTGTAGATCGCTTTGGGTAGAATTGACATTTTCACAATGTTGAGTCTTCCTATCCATGAACAAGGTATGTTTTTCCACTTATGTAGATCTCTTGGTTTCTTGCAGTAGTGTCTTGTAGTTTTCATCGTATAGATCTTTTATGTCTCTGGTTAGATTTATTCCAAAGTATTTTATCTTCTTGGGGGCTATTG